TATACTATGAGTTATATGCAAGGATATGAAACTAAGGGTGATATAAACATAAATAAGATAAACAAGATAGTGGATAATATGAACTAAGAGTAAATGACAATGGCGATATAAGATATGAGCATGAATATAAATGAACGCCAAAGCATACTCAAACACACTATATGATCACGGAGTTCGGACCTTCCGTCCTACGTCTCCGCTCCCCACTCCCGGGGAGAAATCCACTAACACAATCCGGTTTGGAAGCCGGAACTTCTTCTACACACTCGGTTTTCTAGCTAACCGAAAACTCTACAACTCACACTCTTGCAATCACACTCTACACCCACTAAGTGTTGGACCTAGCCGTGTCTCCCTCAAGTGCTCGGTTACAACCTCTCTCTAGGCACGTCAACCGACGCCACTCCTCTTGGGACGATCCCCGACTCTCACCACACACTTCTCACTCGGTGTACAAGTGTATTACAAAGTGATTCTCATGATAAGCATAAATTAACAAATGATTGTTCTCTCTAACAAGGTGAGAACTCAATTAAGCACAACTCTTGGTCATAAACCCACAACCCCAAATTATACTATGTATGTAAATACAATAAGCTCAATAGGTTGTGTGTGATCAAAGAGATAAAACAATATAAACTCAATATAGAAATCTAGCTTATGGAAATTAAGATCAAAACAATAAATAGCTAGAATTGAGTTTAAGGAAAACTTCTCTATAGATCAAGAGTGAGAGAGAGATGAGTTGAATGCCCAAACACCAAATGATGATATCCTCAAGCTCTTGTAGAATTGAATCACAAAACCGAAACACTCAAATGCTTAAAAGCTTCTTAAACTTAAACAAACACTAAACAAGTTTAAACCCTTGTTAAAACTTTTTAAACCATTCTCTTGACATATTGAAAAGATATCAGCAAAGGGGTATTTATACCCTCTAAAGATCTCAGCAAAAAATCCCAAGTCAAAAGACCAAAAAACCATCCTTCAACGGCTCTAAAAAGAGCCGTTGGGACTCCAGCGGTCGACCGATGAAAATCGCGGTCGACCGGAAACAAGGTCAGAGTCACAGGAGACGTCCAGAGAGTCTTCGGTCGACCGGGTGGAAATTTCGGTCGACCGATGGTGAATTTCGGTCGACCGGCGGAAATTTCGGTCGACCGACGGTACTGAAGCAGGTATATCCAATTTTATAAAATCGGTTAAAAATAGTAAAACAGCTCCAAAAATTATGAAATGTTGCTAAAAGGTTATAGACATGTATAAAAACATATTAGAGAAAGAATTTCTGAAAAAGAATTTTCCAGTTGAGAGACATAAATGTTTTAACACAGAAATACAGTTTCTGAAAATCTGCTGTGATACACGATTTTGTAAAATCAATTAGGCACAGTAAATCAACTCCAAAAATAGTAAAATTTTGTGGGAAGTTTCTAAATATGTAGATAAACATGTCAGAGAAAGAATTTTTCAAATATCACTTCTCATTTGTGAAAACTCATCAGTTTTGTAAAACATGCACGAACATGTGCACGAACGAAAACGTGAATTTGTAAATTCCTTTAAACATAACAAATCAATTCCAAACTTGATGAAACTTTGAGAAATGTTTGCAAATGATATTTTGAACATGTTACAAAAAGAATTTTCCAATTTGCATTTCTCAATTGTGAAATCTCATTATTTTGCAAAAGTATTCAAAACATGAAAAACCCAAAACCATGCATGTATATATATAACTATATATATACATAGAAACCAAATACGTGTGTGTATATGATATTGAGCTTAAGGTACTTCACACACATAATATAAAATCTAAACTAGATTACCCAAGCTTGATCTTGATCTTCATTGTAGCTCAACTTGGTACACATGCGGATGAAGCTTGAACTTGATCTTTAACTTGAATTGTATGTTGCTTCACTCCACAATTCCGCCAACCTCCATTTGATATCGTCGTTATGACGCAATCTATCCATCCTCTAACTACGTTGTTTGTCTACAATAAATACGAAAACACAAATACTAGACAAACAACATTAGTGGTAAATTGTTTGTTAAACATCATCAAAACAAGAAGGCCAACAATAATTAGATTAATTGTATTTGATGATAAATATTTTAACTTAATTAAATTTTTTGTTGATTAATCAGTTACTTTATTAGGTTTTACAACAGGGCTGAAAGTCACATCATAATCAACCCTCTTTTGTTGATTATCTTCTTTTTCCTCAAGAAGTTCTTTAAACCAATCAATTATTCCATCAACCTCTCTTCAACCATACGATTTAAACTGAAAGACAAAAAAGGCCTCTAGTTCATATCCCTCCACAAAGAAAACTTATTTCCTTGTATTATTTGTTTGCTATACAGTGATACGTGGCATATACTTCTACAAACATAAGACTGCGGTGTTCAATTTAATTTCAATGTTTGATTCTCTCTCTGTTGTGGCATATTGATGGCTTATGTTGGATTGGAATTGTTTTTCCTAAGAGTGTTGGACTGTAATTGAAGTTGGGACTGTAAGGGGTCTAGTGATAATTTTTATCAAAATGCAGCCCCTTATGATTGTAATTTTTTCACAATAAGGTCTATGGTCCCTATGAATGCATGGAATATAATCCTGTGGTAAGTTCAACTTTAATTATAGGCAGACAGACAAAATAAGAGAGTTGCATCACCGCTGCGAGGATCCCAACTGCCTACGATCAATTTATTAATCAGATGCAAAAATGAAATACTGGCTGGTTGTTGATGCATATAAAACTTCAATGCGATTAACCAAATCATTTTCATGAACTTTTTTCAGAGTAGATTATGGGAATAACTATAACAGATCTCATGCAAATAAAATCTTTATTAAGAAATACCTAGTCAGTTAATGATAGATATGTATTTTTCACTAATTCCTGGTTCGATATTACAGGAGCTTCATTGTGCAGAAAGATTCTCCAAGGATGTATAGATATCAGCATGAATCCCTAATATTCCATAATTGATCCCAACTTCCTATACCTTTCCTACTGTGGTAAGTCCATGTTGATTTGGATTAATTGATCTATTTGTCCTCTACAAATTTTTTTCATTAAGCAGGCCAGTTGCGATAGATCTCTGAAATTTGTCAAGAAGAGAGATGAAGTTCCTTTCCCCCTCCTCCCTAAACATGAATAGTCAAGCAGAGAAATGAAGTTCCTTTCCTCCTCCCTAATCATGAATACAATAGCTAGTGCGGATAAGAATAGTATTATTGATTCAAAGCCAATGTAAATACAATGATTGATTCTCTCTGTTGTGGCATATTGATGGTTAATGCTGGACTATAAATGTTTTTCCTAAGAGTTTTGGACTGTAATTGAAGTTAGGACTGTAAGTATTTGAGAGCTTGCCTCCTACAGCGGATGTTTCAGATTTTTCTGTTTTTTCCCTTGACCCCTTCAACATGGACTCAAATTGCTTATTCATGAAGCTAGGTGAGGTCTAAATTCAATCAGGTAAGTTCAATATCATTTTTGCTTGATTTCTAGATTTGGAATAATTCATATTTTGGTCTCTTTTCTCTTCTATTTTTAATTTTATTTTTCCCTCAATTTTCCCAGGTCTTCATATATTTCAAAATTTTACACTAAAAAATTTACAACAACATCCACTAATTTAAGTTTAAATATTTTGAAATTTGGAAGTGATAGATTTTTAGATTTGGAATAACTTGGATTTTTGTCTCCTTTCTCTTCTATTTTTAATTTTATTTATTTTTCACTCAATTTTCCCTAGTCTTCATATATTGTAAAATTTTACAGCAAAAAATTTTCAGCAACATCTGCTAATTTAAATTAAATATTTTGAAATTTGAAAGTGATAGATTTCTAGATTTGGAATAATTCGGATGTTTGTCTCCTTTTTGTTCTATTTTTTATTTTTTTTTCACTCAATTTTCCCAGGTCTTCATTAATTTTAAATTTTTACAGCAAAAAATTTACAGTAACATCTGCTAATTTAAATTTAAATATTTTGAAATATAAAAGTGAAGATGAAAAATCTTACCGGATCATCTTTGACCTCTGTTCACTTAGTCTGAAGAAAATTTTTCTGAGATTATGTATGAAAATTTGGGTGTAGAGAATAAAAACAGGTTACTATATATGTGGTGGTCTGGGAGATGTGGGAGTTGTAATAGTGGAGGCAGTTCACGGTTATGAGAAGTGGGTTTATGAGAAGTGGGGTTAGGTGGATAATGGGTATAAAATTAATTTTGTTATGAATAATCTGATTGGTCCAGATCAGATTTACTATTCATAGAAGCTTTTTGAGTGTTCTCTTTTAGTTAATAAGAAGTAGATGAGACCCAACTTAAGGGAATGTTTATGAAGTTGACCCTCACTTCTTTACGCTCGTCCTTTATTTCGAATCGCGTTGGAGCTCACCGGACAGGTCAAATCTAGATTACGACCCTTCGCTAGCATTTTTCCAAGATACGTATGGATCTTACATGCAAAAGGAAACAAGTAGTTTGGCTAAATTGCACTTAAATCCTATTGTTTCACCAATCTTGTACTTTAATGTCTCTATTCTAAAACTGTGCATTGAAATCCGCCAAAATATTTACATATTGCAGATAACTCCTCCAAAATTTTAAAATATGGCATGTTGTTGCAATCTTGTTTGCCTAATATTGCACATTGGCGGCATCTTGTTTACCAAATGTTACATATAAATACACTGAGTTTGTAAATAATCCCATTTTAATACCCTAAAGTTTCTAGAAGTTTTGGTTTAATACCCTCTGTTACGTGATATTCTTGGATACATAGAGAAAAATTAACGATATCCGGAGTTTTTTTTTTTTTTTTTGGGTCTACGTGATATTCTTGGATACATAGAGAAAAATTAACGATATCCGGAGTTTTTTTTTTTTTTTTTTTTGGCGTCATCTTGGTTCAATCTCTCTCCGACACGAAATTCTCTCACTACAATTTCCACCACATAGAAATCCTATCTCTACAATAAAAACTACTTGCAAGATAGACGCTCATCGTGCATCCTTCCTCTTCTTCTTCCTCCTTCAAATTAAGATAACATGCACTTCTTTCAGCCCACAAGCCCGAGTTGCCAAAAATACTTCCCCGAGCTCGGTCTGGTAGAAAACGAGCCACTTCCGATCAAACCAATAGAATCAGTCTCTCGTTTGGCTTCGGAGATTATTCAATTTGCGCAAATGAGGAATGTGAGTAATGACAGAGGATTAGGTTCTTTGATTGGGTATGATGGTTTCAGCGGTGGAGTTCGCGGGAAAAGAACTCTCGGGTTTGCTCGAACTGCAAGGTTGAAAACTCTTCAGGCTGAGAGTGAAGCCGAGAAAGAGGAGAAGGCTTTGAGTGAGGAGAAAAAGGCAATGAACGTGAAGAAAGAGAGAGGGAGGAATTCTTGGAATGAGACGCCTAAATTCCTTCTGGCAGGTGCAGTATCAACAGTTATTTCGAGGTGTGTTCTTCAAATGAATCATCTAATTTATGCATGTTAATTAAGGACTACATGCAATCAGCCTGTGCCTATTTTTTTTCGGCTAATGATATGCCCATAGTTTTTTTGTTTCAAAAGAATAATCCAACTGATGATGGAAGCCCCCAACTGCTCAGGAATTGAGCCTGGTTTACATAATCTCTGAGCCAGTATGAATATAAGGGAATTATTGGATTTCTTATTAAATTTGAAATTAATTGGCTCGATATATCCCCTACCATTAAGGATGTTGATCAGTCAAGATAAAACTTACTGTAATTATTAGCTAATGAGAATCATACTACATTGCTCATTACATCACCTACTATGGGCATTTCATTAGTTCGAAACTTGGTTCAATAGCATTTGGTTGACAAATGAATCTGAATTTTCCTACGTACGAATAATTGTTAGCATAGAAAGTCATGCAGTTTTTCAAGTACATTACCAGTTATCAGGTCATAGATTGAGCATAACATCCCCATGGGTTCCCCCACTAAGTTCTTTGAATGAGATGCCAAAAATTTCCAGCAGTTGTGATGTTTACAGTTGTTCAGAAGTGAGTTCTTGTCTGGCATGAATTTGCAATATAAATTGAATCATTCTTATGTGTAAATTAACAGCAATATCTAATCACTCCATTCATTATTTTGGCTAATACACCCACTTTTTATTTGTGAATTTTTTTTATAGTAATCAGCCTGATATAGAAACCTGAACTGTGCAGAAATTGAGTAGTGAGCTTAGCTGAAACTGGATTAATGGGCCTCATATTTCTAAAAAAAGAATTATATACAAGGAAATTGATGGGAAATTTTTATGTAATTAGAAACATCATTTGATATCTCACCTCCTATTAAGTTGTTTAATATACACAACAAAACTAATCATAACACAGTTTGCTAACTAACCTGAAATTTCTCACTAATCGTCATTAGCACGTGATATTTTTAGGACATGTGTGGCACCCTTGGAGAGAATAAAACTCGAGTGCATTGTCAAAGGATCAAAGCACACATGGTTAAAGGTTATAAAATGGATTTGGGTTACAGAAGGACTGAAAGGATTTTGGAAGGGAAACATGATAAATCTTTTCAGAATGGTGCCCTTCAAATCGATCAACTTCATTCTCTATGATATGTACATCGCTCATCTCCTCAGTGTTCCAGAAAAGAAAGAGATCACGAATCATGACAGACTCGTCGGCGGTGGCATCTCTGGCATCATCCCGACTGTGATTTGTCTTCCCCTTGACACCGTAAGTTCTATGTGGTTCATTTATTGTGAATAACTTATTTTTATTGTTATTTATGGAATCCCTTAATATATTTCTATTGTGCGCAGCGGAATCCGAAAAGAACACAACCAAACTGAGATAGGATCACAACCAATAGATAAAACAAGAACCAAACAATGCAAGACACGAATTTTACATGGTTTGGCAAGTTGCCTACGTCCACGGGGCAAGGAGGGGATAGATTTTACTATTAGAGAGAGAGAGTACAAATAGAGATTACAAATTCACTCAAAACTCACAAATTAATCTCTCAAACAAAACTATCAACACAAAATCTCCCAATCACACAGCTCAAAAGTCTCTCTTCTAACCCTAAAAAACGTCATATTCCTATTTATATCAAATAGGAATCCAAATCAGGTTAGAAAACGAACTGGGCCCAAAACCGCTACGCGGTCAACCAGGCTTGAGCATCCGGTCGACTGGCCAAAAGGTTGAAATGTCACAATGTAACCCAGCACAACTTCAGTCGCCCGCACAGTCATGTCAGGTCGACCGGTCAACTGGCCAGAAGGTTGAAATGTCATAATGTAACCCAGCACAATTTCAGTCGCCCGCACAGTCATGTCCGGTCGACCGGTCACATTGCGGTCGACCTGGCGTGATGTTTCGGTCGACCGACCAGAACATGGTTCTAAGACGTTGTTCCGTGCACGTTTTCGGTCGATCAGACCTAAGCTCGCGGTCGACCGACCAACACCCAAATTGCCTCCAGCTTCGTTTTTCCTGTATTTTTTTGCCGTTTGTGCCATTTCTACAAATCTCCACCTCGGTGAAGTTTTTTCAAAACTGAGCCGACACCAACACCAACTAGACATCCCACTTGTTGCGTCCAGTACGAAGTGGAATCAATCCACGACAACGGACTCAATCCACAACAAGTTGGGAACCAAATGAGAATGCGAACAATCTCCACTATGTTGGTATCAACTCATCAAACTAAATTAGCTGCATCAAAATGACTGTTTACGTATCCTCTTGTTCAATGAATCAAGCCTCACATAGTTCACCCAAATGGCCTCCAAAAGGCCCTCAACACCGAAGAATATTCAATAACTCCAAACAATGACCAAATTTCACCCCGGTGATAACTTTGGTCAACATATCTGCCGGATTGTCCTTTGTGTGGATCTTCTCTAATATAACATCTCCATCATCCAAGATATCTCGAACAAAGTGGAATCTAACATTAATAATGTACTTTGTGCTTGCATGATATATCTGGTTCTTTGCTAAATAGATAGCTGACATGCTGTCACAATTCACCCTGATGATCTCCTGTGCAATTCCCAAGTCTTCTAATAATCCCTGCAACCACAAAGCCTCATTCACAGCTTCAGTCAATGTCATATACTCAGCCTCAGTAGTGGAGAGAGTCACTGTAGACTGAAGTGTACACCTCCAACACACCGATGCTCCTATCAATGTAAATACATATCTTGTACTAGACCGGGGTTTGTCATGATTCCCCGCATAGTCCGAATCCACATATCCAACACAATCTTGCCTAATCTTCTCATTCTTCTGAAACACCAAACCAACATCCACGGTACCTTTGATATACCGTAGAATCCGCTTCACGGCCTCCTAATGACCCTTTCTGGGGTCGTGCATGTATCTGGACCCCGTGCTCACAGCCTGTGATAAATCTGGCCTTGTACACACCATCACAGACATCAAGCTACCCACCGCATTGGTATATGAAACTTTGGACATATAGTCACGATCCTCAACTGAAACATGTGACATCTTAGCTGAAAGCTTAAAGTGGGGAGCCAATGGAGTACTCACAGCCTTAGCATTGCCATCAAAACTGAATTTCTTCAGTATCTTCTGCAAGTAGCTCCTCTGTGTTAACTTCAACCTCCCCTTCACCTTGTGTCTCTTAATCTCCATACCTAATATCTTTTTTACTTCTCCAATATCCTTCATCTCAAATTCAGATGACAACTCTTTTTTAACTTTCTAATAGCTAAAGTATTCCTGGAAGCAATGAGCATATCGTCAATATACAACAATAAATAAATATACTCACCATTCTGTAGCTTATGCATGTAAACACACGGATTATAAGGGCTCCTCGTGTATCCTTGGTCGATCATAAAACTGTCGAATCTCTTGTACCATTATCGCGGCGATTGCTTCAATCCATAAAGAGACTTCTTTAGTTTGCACACCAAATCTTCTTTGCCTGCAGCTCTAAAATCTATAGGTTGTGTCATATAGATCTCCTCTTAAGTCTCTATATAGAAAAACAGTTTTCACATCCATCTGGACCAAATCCAAATCCAATTGTACCACCAATGCCAATAGTATTCTTATTGATGAATGCTTCACAACAGGTGAGAATACATCGTTATAATCAATACCCTCTACTTGGGCATACCTTTTGGCAACCAATCTGGCTTTGTATTGTATGACCCCATCAGAAGATCTTTCTTTCTTTGCATATACTCACTTGCATCCAATTGCTTTCTTGCCCTTCGGTACCTTTGCAAGTTCCCAAGTGTCATTCTTCTGAAGAGAGTGCATCTCCTCCTCCATAGCTTCCTTCCACCTGATTGAATCAGAGCTTGACTCTGCTTCCTTATATGTAGAAGGAACCAAATCATCAACGACCTCTACTGACAAAGCATATGCAACCATCACATCATCATATCTAGCTGGCCGACGAATAATTCTTCTTGGTCTATTAGCTACAATGGACTCCTGAACATGACCCTGTCCCTGAGTCCTAATATTCACTGTATCCTCCATCTGCCTATCTGTCATCACGTCTCCTCTTAGTATCACCTCTGTAGGAGCATCAATGGATACAATACTATTTGAAGTCTGTAGAGTCATATCATCCTCCACCTCCTACGATATCCTGCTAGTCTGACTTTCCTCCACCTGTTGAGGGACTTGAGACCTCATCATATACGCCTTATCAAAAGTAACATCTCTGCTAATGATTATCTTCTTATATTATGGATTCCACAACTTGAAGCCTTTAACTCTATCTCTAAAGCCCACAAAGATTGCTTTTCTAGCCCTCGGATCAATTTTCCATCATTCACATGATAGTAAGCTGGACACCCAAATATCTAAATCAAATCATAATCACTAGCCACTGAACCAGACCATACCTCCATAGGAGTCTTCCCATGTATCGTAGTGCACGACAACCTATTCACAAGATGATTCACATAAACCAACGCCTCGGCCAAAAGGATCTAGCCAATCCACTCTGTGAGAGCATACAATGCACCTTCTCCAGCAAGGTATGGTTCAATCTCTAGGTCACCCCGTTTTGTTACGGTGTCTCCCTAACTGTGAAGTATCGCCTAATGCCGTGATCCCGACAAAACTGTAGAAATAGATCACTCTTGTACTCTCCATCATTATCTGAACGGAGTACATTCATCTTTCTACCTGTCTGCAGCTCCACTTTCTTCTTCCACTCCATAAATATATCCAGGACCTCATGTTTATGCTTCATAGGGTATACCCAATTCCGCTTGGAATAATCATCAATAAAAGTAGCAAAATAATTAGCCCCACCAAGTGATGTGTATTTGGAAGGACCCCAAACATCCGTGTGAATGTAATACAATATACATTGGGTGTTGTGAATTGCGGTGACGAATTTCACTTTTGTCTTATTCCTAAGTAAACAATACTCACACAACTCCATCTAACAGGTCTTTACACCTTTCAACAGCTCCTGTTTCACCAATACCTGCAGGAACTTATCACCAGTGTGTCCTAATCTCATATGCCATAGACGGGTAGTATCCTCCTTTATGGTAATAGAAGCCGTCAGACCCTCTGTTACTATCTTACCCTTCAAGTAGTAAAGATTATTTTCCCTGACACCTCTTATCACCACCATGGACCCCCCCTTTGTGAACTTCAGAGTTGCATTCTCCAAAATCATCCTATAGCCTTCTACCTCCAAAGTTCCAAGTGAAATGATATTCTTCGTCAACTGCGAAACGAATCTCACTTCCTTCAGCTCCTTAGTCATCCCATCACACATCTTGATTCGGACTATTCCAATACCACCAATAGAACATACATGATCATTACCCATGAGCACGACATCCCCTCTTTCCAAGTCCTCAAGGCTAGAGAATCAATTCCTCCTAGGGAAAATATGGTATGTAGCACCTGAATGCAACCATTGCGTAGAGTCGGCATAACAAACTGACAGTACTGTTGTACATGAGTAGCCCGAAGAATCTGAATCTGGATTGTCGCCACTAGCTTTGGCAACATTCACCTCTGAAGCTTGTACGAATTTCCCCTTATTCTTCCAGTCTCTATCCTTTAACTTTGGGCATTCATTATTCCAATGTCCATTCTCTTTGCAAAAAGCACATTGATTCCTACCCATGCTTCTATGGCCACCTCTCCGTTTCGACTTTGAGCGATTAAATGGACGACGGTTTGGACTACGGCCTTTCATTGTCGATGCATCTCCCGATGCCTTCTCGGAGGATTCGTCATCACTCTTCCTCAACTCATTATTCACCAATGCTAAGGTCACCTCCTTATAACTAACAGTGATCCTACCATTAATCATTGTGAGGACAAAGATACCATAATCATCCTCTGACAAGGAACACAATAACAACATCACCTTGTCTTCATCCTCTACCATGATATCCACATTGGCCATATCCGATAGCAATTTCGTGAAGTTATTGACATGTTCTCTAATGTAAACTCCCCTCTTCATCTTGAATTGGTAAAACTTTTTCTTCAAATGAAGCAAATTATCAATACTCTTCGTTAAATACTTCTCATTGAGTGCTTACCACAACCGTTTTGCCGACGTCTCGTTCATCACATCATAGATCAAATCCGGCGTCAAGCATGACCTAATAACCCTACATGCTCTGTTGTTAACCTTCTTCCAAACCTTCTCCTCCATATCAGCGGGTTTCTCTTGTAATTCAAGAGTCTCCTCCAAATTCTGGATATCTAATGCATCCATCACCTAACACATCCACAAACCAAAGTTTATCTTGCCATCAAACTTCTGAACATCAATTTTAGTGTTATTGATGCTCAAACCCTATATCGCCTTCGAAAGAGACGATCCCGATGTACTTGCTTCACCCATGTTGATAACCTGATCTCTTGAAACAAGAATCCTGTAGAGAATCCTCCAAACGAGCCCCAAGTCAAACCCGAAGCTCTGATATCACTTGTTGTGCGCAACGGAATCCAAAAAGAACACAACCAAGCTGAGATAGAATCACAACCAATAGATAAAACAAGAACCAAACAATGCAAGACATAGATTTTACGTGGTTTGGAAAGTTTCCTATGTCCACAGGGCAAGGAGGGGATGAATTTTACTATTAGAGAGAGTACAAATAGATATTACAATTTCACTCAAAACTCACAAATTAATCTCTCAAACAAAGCTCTCAAATCTCCCACCAAATCTCCCAATCACACAGCTCAAAAGCCTCTCTTCTAACCCTAAAAAATGTCATATTCCTATTTATATCAAATAGGAATCCAAAATAGGTCAGGAAACGAACTGGGCCCAAAACCGCTACGCGGTCGACCGGGCTTGAACATCTGGTTGACCGGCCAGAAGGTTGAAATGTCACCCTGTAACCCAGCACAACTTCGGTCGACCACACAGTCATGTTCGGTCGACCGACCAGAACATGGTTCTAAGACCATGTTTCGTGCACGTTTCTGGTCGACCGGACCTCAACCCGCGGTCGATCGGCCAGCACCCAAATTGCCTCCATCTTCGTTTTTCTTGTATTTTTCCTCCGTTTTTGCCGTTTCTACAATTTAAGTGAATGTTATTTTCCTGAACAATTCAATTCATCATATAGAATGAAAGAGCAGACTATACATCAATAAGTTAGTATTCTATGCTTTTATTGCTAGAGTTGTTTTACCCTATGAGAGTTCTGTTGGATCTCAGATGCAAGTCTAGAGAGAAGGGTGAATATGATTGCCAATGTTTTTCATCAAAACACAGAATATGTAGCGGAAGATAACATATAAAAGCGATAAAAAAGATAACAAACTCCAAAACCAATGAACCAAGAATGCACGATATTTTATAGTGGTTCGGATAAACAATCCTACTGACACTCTTCCTTCTTTGAAGAGGCTTCCTCACTGTGTCAAGAGTTTACCTGAATCACAAATTCGATTCGGTAGGCTTACAAGACCGCACCCTGAAGTCTGCCTAAAACCAATCGTCTGACCTAAATCCCGCAATGAATAATTCCTAGTCCTAACTAGTCTCAACCCTTAATTAAACTAGCTTGAGTACGCTGTAAAAGAAGTTCAAATAAAAACAAACCAAATATCAATTAAGCACAAAAATCAAAATGATTTGCAGGCCATTTGATAAAACAAACCGTCCCTTGAAGGATATAAATAAAGCTTGATGAAGAATGATGAAGAAGATCAATCCAAGGACAACTCTTTTTGTTGATCTAATCCAAAGGTGTTGTGTGCTACGAATAAGAGTTCAACAAGACTCTAGGGAATCAAAAACTCTCTTCAAGGTCTCTCAATATCAAACTCTAGAACTCCTCCTATTTTCGATCTCAATCTTTCTATGATAATATATCACAATTAGATTAGGAAAGAGATATCTCAAACATGATAGAAGTTGGAGAGTATATAAATCAATGAACATCTACTATTAAATCTGAAAACTGCAATCTACCACCTTTACCATAGATGATGATTCTCAACCATCAGCGGTGTCGAGAGACCATTGACGGTTGAGAAGCTCATCGATGATATTCAAGTCTTTGGACATTTGTACCATCGATGTGTCATAGAACCATTGATTGCCACTACTCACCATCGATGGTTAATGACCCACCATCGATGGTGGTTGCGTTGAAATCAGCTTTTGAGTTGATTTTCATGTTATTTTGACTCGTAAATATGTCATACATGTATTTATCTATACTACAACATCTCAAACCGATATTAGTATCAAGCAAGAGTTTGTTATTGCTCAAACAAGAGATATTGCACAGACAACATCCTAACAATCTCCTCTTTTGTATAGCAGCAAACTAGAAATTTGAAGTAGCTAAATGCATGCCATTATATAATATATATATAATATATTATATATAATATATTATATATATTATATATATATAATATATATAATATATATATATGATATATGGAATTATGGGTATGCTTGGTACCAAGCCTACAAGAATTTTTGTGCTTGGTAGTGAGGTGGCATATATCTCCACTCATTCAAATGGAGGATCACATCACATGGTAAATGTGGTCCCCCAACAAGTTGATGAGTGGATGGGAATGAGACACATCACGTACAAGCAGCAAAAATTTGTAGCTGGTACCAAGCATACCCATTTGCTCCATATATATATATATATATATATATATATAATATATAATATATTATATATATATTATATATATATTATATAATATATATATATATATATATATATATATATACATACATATAGAAGAGGATGTTTGGTTACCAGTAATAAGAAGTATGCTTGATTAGTGAGGTGACAGTAATCCCCTCCACCCATATCAAATGGTTGCATATGTCTCATGCACTCCTCAAACATGTGAATGTTGGTCCCCATTTGAATGAGTGGAGGGATTGTTGCTACCTCACACCAAGCGATACCCATATTTCTTTATATATATTATAATATATATATATATATATAGAGAGAGAGAGAGAGAGAGAGAAATATGGGTATGCTTGGTACCAATCATTAAAAAGTTATGCTGGTAGTAAGTATCAATCCCCCTCCACTCACTTCAAATGTCCGGAACAAATTTACTGGGTGTGATAGATGGAGATGTGACACTTCATACCAAGCCACAAATTGTGCTTGGTACAATGCATACCCATATCTCTCTCTCTCTCTCTCTCTCTCTCTCTCTTATATATAATATATATAATAATATATATATATATATATATATATATATATAATGAATTATATATATATATATATATAATATATATTATTATATATATAATTATATACTATATAGAGAGAGAGAGAGAGAGAGAGAGAGAATATGGGTATGCTTAGCTACGAAGCATAAATTTTGTGCTTGTATGAGGTGACAAATCCTCTCCACTCATTCAAAAATGGGGGACCACTTCACATGGGTTAAAGAGTGTATGGGATATGTTAAGCATTGAATTGCAGTGGAGAGGATTTGTCACCTCGACTACCAAGCCACAAACTTTCACCACACACACACACACACGCACACACACACACACACACACCACAACATTATATATATATATATTATATATATATATATATAATATATATATAGATTATAAATATATATACATAATATATATATTAATATATATATATATATATGATAATATGATATATATATATGATATAAAGCACAAATACATTCTCATGCAATAAGAAATGATATGCACTAGTCCCCTACATTCATGCATTTATGTAAAATGTAAAATAAACATAGGTATTGTGAAGTTCCCTCTAAAACAATGCATTCAGTGTTCAAAAAAAATTTCAATAGTAGTCAAACCATGAAACCACTTACTCAAAAACTCCACTCATACCCAAAAAAAACCTAAAAATTTTCACCAAAAAACAGGCAAAAATCATCTGAATAGTATATGGGGAAGAAAAAGACAAAAGTTCACACAAAATTATTGCCTAAAAATAGCATAAGAGATCAAAGACAAGCACAAAACACATGCACACAATAAAAATATGTCAAAATGTACATAAGAAAAAATTAAATAGTGTAAAGTGTATGAAACAAATAGTGAAGAAACGTATACTAGTTCATAAGAAAAATTCAAGTATATCAAAAATGATAACAGAGCAAAAAAAAAAGACTCGAGCTATCTCAACCTTATCATCGGACCAAAGTGTCGTTTTATCACCTCAGCCGTGTAGGAATTAAGAGGAAGAGCGATATTGTTTGACGGACAATTCACACCATCTCTAAATATAAATTATATCCAGTATAGAATGACTATCCATTGAGATATGCACAAACAGGAATCCACGAGTGTGGGTTTTTGACCATCTTTTAACGAATGCATTCATCTTTGCATGGATTTCATAAGAGTGCTGATCTTTAATTATCCTTTAATAAATACACTCTTATTGTTTTTTTATAATCTTTGACACAGATGCACTTTTGTGCATATAAAGATGAGTTCATGCACTGGCCAAGTAAAAAATGCTCAAAGATCATGTGATATAACCTAAAAATTAAATCAAATAGGAGGAATAGCCAACTACATTATATCTTATTATACCTTTCATTGGAGTAAATTTTGGAACTGCTAGCCTAATAGCTGCAACCGTATTATACCTTTCTTAACACTGAAAATCAAATAGGAGTAGCCAACCTTTTCATCCTAAACTATTGCTCTAGAATTTCATTGCTATCATTGTTTTGTGCTAGGAGAGTTCTAATAATGTGGACTGGTAAAATTCAGCTCAAATAACAAGACGGTACAATCCTCAACAGTTATTGATAACCATAGATTGAATATGAATCACCTACATTGTGCGAAGACTTGCACAAATTTTTTGAAATAATTTGTTAACTGCATTATGGATGATATGTCAGGTAGAGTGTATCATCTTAATTGTATACACTTTTAGTATTGCATTACAAGTCTACTAACTGGATTTACGAGTCATTTGACTATAAAACAAAATAAAAGGATAACCACCCCACCCCCCCCCCCCCCCATACACAAAAAAAAAACCATCTTATTGTTACAGTTTCAGATAGAGCACCCTGTGGTCCTATTGTTGCAGATATACCTCCCGAGACAGATGGTCCCTTTGGTAAAAGGACAATTTTCTCTTTATCTGAGGGTAAATGTGCGTAAAAAAATTTTTCACTCAGGGTGTCTGTCTGCAATAATAGCACTACAAGGGGTCCATCTGCAATTGATCAATAGGACACGGGGCTATCCGAAAATTTTATGGGTGAGGTAAGAATAGCTCAATTTTCAAGTTTATATTGTCTTGCACATTGATCTTGAAACTATTAGACAAGGACAGATTCGAACAAGGCTAATGGCTCAGGGAGGTGAAGCTTTAGGCAGTATCGGCGACTGCTGCTTCCAAATGGTAAAGAATGAAGGCTTCATCTCTCTATACAAAGGCTTAACGCCTGCACTCATCAGCATGGGACCCGCAAGTGCTGTATTCTATGCTGTGTATGATATCCTTAAGAGTGCGCATCTCTCACATAAACAAAGGGAGGGAGATGATAACAAGGAGTTAGGAGTAGTAAGAACCTTGATCTACGGTGCACTTGCTGGTGCTTGTGCTGAAACAGTCACATATCCTCTTGAAGTCATAAGGAGGCAGCTTCAGCTTCAGCAATCAGCAAGATTAGGCTTGATATCAGTTTTCGTTAATATAACAGAGAGAGATGGACTCGCCTCATTGTATGCTGGCTTGTTTCCTAGCACACTCCAGGTATATCGGCAATTTAGCCTGTCATTGTTGCGGATAGACCCCCTGAGTTTTTTTTTTTTTTTTTGGTCGTTTACACTCAGGAGGCCTATTATTCAGAGGGTAAAAGAGTCAAAAAAAAAATCACTCAGGTAGCCTATTTGCAACAATATAACTACGAGGGGCTCTATCTGCAATTAGGCGATATTTTCTTGTAGTTCGACTAATTCTGACCTATTGTGATGTAGGTATTGCCCTCAGCAGCATTGAGCTATCTGTTTTATGAGGTGATGAAGTCAATCTTAAAGATCAATTAGTCAGAACACCAGCCTGCAATACTAACTTCTTCCTCATTCCGGTTCAGTAGTTGCGAATAAAGTTGATAAAGTTCAGGCAATAAATTTGAAGCTCGGTCGAAATTTGCGAATAAAATTGAAAAAGTTAACAGGATTTAAAATCCCGTGAAGTTATGTCCTTAATTAATTAGCACTAACCAAAATTCTTGGCTCGGACAATAAAGTGCTACTAAACTTCACGGGATTTTAAATCCCATGAATTTTATATTAAACAAATTTCATAAAAGAAGTAGTTATGTGCAATGGGTTTAGTGGTTATAACATTAGCTTGTAAGTAAGACTTGGATGATTCCATGAATTTTATATTAAACAAATTTCATAAAATAAGTAGTTATGTGCAATGGGTTTAGTGGTTACAACATTAGCTTATAAGTAAGACTTGGATGATTCCGTGAAGTTTATATTAAACAAATTTCATAAAATAAGTAGTTATGTGCAATGAGTTTAGTGGGTATAACATTAGCTTGTAAGACTTGGACGGGAAGCACATGGTTCAAATTCTAGCTTTCTTTGAGCCAACCACTTGGCCAACTATGGCGACCATGTTATATTGAACTCTCCAGGATCTAAAATCCCGTGGAGTTAGGCTAATTCTAAACTTCATGAGATTTAGAATCCCGTGAAATTTAATTAAGGACTAAACTTCACGCAATTCTAAATCCCGTGTAGTTTTTCAACCTTATTCGCTAATTTTAACCCAGTTTCAGCCAAGTGGCTAAAACTGAGTCGAAATTTGCAAATAAATCTGAAAGGGTCGTTTTTTTAAAATAAATTCCTAAAAGGGTCTAAAACAAAAATTTGCCCTTAAAAAGCATTTAACCCTAGTTTAAACAACATCAAAACATAACGAGCTATCTCTGAGTGGCAAATCATCAAAGAATAGCTCAATCCCTATAAATTTAGCCCCAGAAAATTAGACTGACCTTATAGACAATTAAGCAATACATCAAAAACAAATCTCAAAACTTCTGTTTTTCTCACTCTAAAACTGTAATTCTTATTGCCGAAAACTCTAAAAAAGGAACTTTCACCTATATTAATCCGAAAGGTTGAAGATCATAAAGAGGAAGTATTACGGTTTGTAAGTGTGAATAAGGAAGCAGCCACTTTTAGATCATGCTCCTGCACATGTTCAATGGTGCTGGCCTCATCTTTGAGTTCAATGGTCTTGGTGCTGCAATAAATGCAAATGAAGAGAATCAAAATATATAAATGCAAATAGGCAGAAAAGAAAATAAAAAAATGGGCATAATGTATGTATCTGAAGACCCATCAAGTATTGAGATAGGCCTGAACAGAATTGAATGAAAAAGTAAGATTCCTATCCCAAAATTTTGGGATAAAGGCTTTCTTCTACCTTTTGAATATATTAGAAACAAAAAAACTACATAGCTGTAATAGCCAAAAAGAACCTCTAAAGCAGCTTGAAATGGTAAACCTGTTAAATGTTACAGTGAGAAAATTAATCTTGATTAATTTTATTTGTATTTGTAACTTCTAAAGATGTTTCTGGTACTTTATATGGAATAGTTTTCTAATTCCAAATGAGACATGATTTCAATGAGATAAACATTCAATATATTCTTGATAAACACTAATCCCACATGATACATTATTTAATTTTCCAATATTCCTGATTAATGAAATAGCTTACACAGAGCTGGTAAAGACATTTCCTTGATAAAGGAGGCCACTAGTTTGATACATATTTCACTAGCTTCCCAGTCTTTTTTACCACCTTATAATTTGCATCAAGTTTATTATATAAATAAAAAGGTAAATTGCATATGATCCTCCTCAACTATACTTTTAGTATGCATTTATCATCCACAACTCATTTATCAGCGGTTATCACCCCTCAATAAGTTGAGGAGATCAGGAGAGGGATATTATTTGCTATCAATACTGCTCAACTTGCCAGGTCCGGCGGTGATTAGTGCGAAGAAACTAATTGAGGGATGATAAGCACTACTGGATGTGCATATATAGCAGATTTATCTGCAATTTACCTATAAAAAATATCAATATATTAAGATTCCATAATCTAAACCTTCCAAAATAGTATGAAAAATCATAATCTCAAGAAAACATGCATCTACCTATATAATGAACATAACCATATTCTATATAAAACATCCGAGTCGTAACACGCCACTTACAGTCCCTTTGGTTTGATATAGGCAGATACACCAGTTGAGAATTTTTTTTCTTATTTTTGTCTCTTTTATCCTCAGGGGTCTGTTTGCTAAATAAAAAAACACAGTCATCACCTATAGGTAAAAGAGTCAAAATAATTCACTCTGGCAGTAAATCTGACAATAACAAACTTAAGAGTAAAAAATGTCACTACAAGGTGTCTAAGCGCAATTAACCCTAAATATAAATCCCCATCTTCAGACCTAAACCAGAAAAAAAAAATCAGCGCAAACCTGCAATTAACGTCATTCCCTCACTGGGAACCATCTCAGCTGCCACCACCACCTCATCCACCTCCTCTCATCTCATAACATCAAATACATTGACCACAGCTTCAAATCCTCCTCCCTTTTCCTTCTTTCTTCTGAATACTAAAAATATCCATCTCCAAATTGAAGGCTCCAATCCAATAGCAAAACCACCTTTCTCATCCCCATTATAAAAACAATCAAAACGCTGTTCCTGCTTTTGCTGTTCTTGATTCTCATACTCCTCAATTTTTTTAAGATTGATTGTAATAAGGAAATAGTTTTTGCTAGTTTTTAGTTTGATGAAATTATATGGAATGTTTCTAGTTCTGCATAACACATGATTTTAAAGAGTAACTCTAAATAAACCTGAGTTAAAGATGTGAAAACAAGAGATAAACATTGAAGTATATTCTTGGTAAACATTACCTCCACACGATGCATCACGCAGAGCTGGTGAAGACATTTTCCCTTGATATGAGGTTACAAAAATTCAACACATTTCATTTTTATGCTTATAATGCAATCAATGTTATAAACAGCAACAAATAGCGCCGCAATAGCAGTGCTAACAGCGTTAGCTACCCCTTTCGTTACAATTGCCCAATATCAGTGACATATTTCGGAATATGCGCTTTCCGCTCACATAAGCAGCCAAAAGTGCAACATAGCAGTGAATAGTGGGCGATTGCTGATAAAATCTGCTTTTTAACTGTTATTTAAAAGCGATTTCATGTTTATTTTTTTAATTAACCCAACCGACACCCGCAAGATCTGATGTTTTAAGTCATTACCAATCGTGGTTTTTCCTGTCTTGGGTCTCCCCCTCTCAATCCAACCATAAAAAACCCTAGCCCTCAAAAAGGTCGCTGCCTTCGACTGCATCTCATCATGTCTCGCAACTTTTGGCATCTCCTTGCTACCTCACGCCGCCTCCCACAGCCTCCGGCACCTCCTCTTATCTGCACTCGTTGTGAGCTCTTCTTATTGCAGTCTTCTCACCACTTACCTCATCTTCTCCAAGACAACTCCTCTGGTCCTCTTTGATATTATGTAGTAGTTACGAGTCTATTTCAGACTTAGGATCTCTTTAAATCATCATATATGTATTTTTGAATTTTCTAAATTTTTCTTTGATTTTTTTAATAGTTATACATATTTAAATTAGACGGTTTTTTGACTTTGCACTTTTTGCTGTAATTTTACCGCAATAGCCTCTAAAAGCGTTAGTAGTACCTCATGCCATGTGTCGCTATCCGCTATCGAAATCCTTGAATGTAATAATTACAATTTCACATCAAAATTGTCAAATAATAAATAAAAAAGGTAAACTGTAGATAATCCTTCCTTTAATCAGTTGCATTATTCAAATCATTTATTAGTACTTACCACCTCTCAATTAGTTGAGAGGGAGATTGTCTAAAATTAATACTTCTCAAAACGTAAATTCTGGTGGTTAAGTGCTAATAAATGAATTGAGGAATGATAAAAACTACTGATAGTGTATAGCTAAAGGATTCAACTGCAATTTACCCCTAAAACTATCAATGAGCTAAGATTGTATAATCAAAACTTTTGGAAACAGTAGAAAGCATCATATTCTCACGCAAACATGCATCTTCCTAAAAAATCAACGCATCCATATTTCTATATAAAACATCCAAAAAATCAAGGGTTAATTGCAGATGAACTTTTGCAGTATCGTGATGTGACATTCATTATTCCTTAAGTTTGATGTTGGTAAACCTCAGCAAAAAATTTTGGATTCTTTATTCTCAGGGGTCTATTATACCCTATGGTCATATTTGGATTAGGTATTATTTTGAATTAATAAGCTTTTACCCATTAAATTAAAATAATTGAGGTTAGGCCTGGCTACTTAGTGCATAGTCCATTAAAATGAATTAGTCCTCTAGACTAAATAAGGAGGAGATGGGGTAATATTGCGGTCTTGACTCCTCTAACTATTTCCTACTTGAGATTAGACACGAAAAGACCCATTTATCTTAACTTTACCAAAAATTACTTAGGTTTCCCTCTCCAATTAATTCCTCGTCCCTTGTCATGTTCTACCAATAAAAGAAGAAATCGGAACAAAAACTGGACAAACATCTCTTTCTTTTATTTAAATGCCCATTTTTTTTAGATTGAACTATGGATGCCAAAAATTTGAGCAATGGTCTTTATGGTGGTGATGATGGACTGCAACTTTTAATTTTCATGCAAAGAACTTTGTTACCGGATAGTTGTGATTTGAAGCTGATTGGCCAAACTTTGATGAACAATTTATATTAAAGTTTTTGCATTAATTCATGGCTGAAAGGCATTGTTGACATTTGTTGTTATGTTTGAATCACATACCACTTTAGAATGATAAGTTCCCCAACATGACATATGTTTTAGAGGCATTAATAACAAACTAAACCAAACAAATTATTAACAATTTTCTTCACTATAGTCTGCTAAATTATATATCTCAAGACTGTAGCAGGTCAAATTAATCCTGGTAAAAAGCAATTCTCCAATTCAAACATGACCTATGGGCAAAAGAATCAAAAATTTCCACTTGTAAGTTGTATCTCCCAATATCAAAGGGTAACAAGTGTCTAATAAATTATATTATATTTTGATTCGATTGTGAGCTTAAATAAAATCTCATTTACCAGCTCAAAAAAATAAAAAATAATATATATATAGCAATTAATGGAAAAACAAAACATCCATCTTCAAACCCAGCTCAAAGGATTTCTCAACACAAATTTGAAACAAAATCCATTCCTCTCACTGGCAATCGCCTTATCCATCACCACCTCCTCCTCCACCTCCTCTCCTCCCATAACATCAAACACAATCGACCTTCAGCTTCAAAATTTCCATTTCCCCTCCTCCTTTCTGCTGATTTGGAACATTGGTGCCAAATAATTGTGCTTTGAAGCTGATTTGCCAAACTTTGATGAACAATTTGTATCAACATTTTTGCATTAATTGGTTTTATGGATTTTTACAGAATTAGCGAGAGTCATGCCCAGTACTAGACAGACATTGCGGACATTTGTTGTTATGTTCTAATCACATGCCAACTTATAATGACAAGTTCCCAAACATGACATAGGCATTAGAGACGTCATAACAAACTGAACCAAACAAATTATTAACAATTTGACTCGCTACAATCTGCAGGATTATATATACCAGGACTATGTTGGGTCAAATTAATCCCAGAATAGAATAAAACAAGCCCCCGATCCAAACATTGGCTATGTGTAGAAGAATAATAAATTAAAAAATTAAGTGTCATGGCGCAATATTAAGGGGGGTCTACGTGCAATTAACAGAACAGTCAAACAACCATCTTTGAACCCAAGTTCAAGGAATTCTCAACACAAACCTGAAACAAAATCCGTTCCCCTCACCGGCAACCGCCTTAACCATCACCACCTCCTCCTCCTCCTTCACCTCATCTCCTCCCGTAACATCAAACACGTCGATCACCGGCTTCAAGTCCTCCATTTCTCCTTCCCCTGTCTGCTGCTGAAACCCCAACATCTCCATCTCCAAAGCATTCCCGGACCCGACTCCCCCCTCCCCCGCCTCCATCATAAAAACACCCAAACTGCTGTTGGTTCCTACACTCCTCGAGTTTCTGCAACACGAGTGACAGCTCGAGCGATAACATTTCTATCTCTCTCTGCAGATCCAACACAATTCTGTAACACCCGCCAACGGGATCCATCGCCCGCGCGTCAGCCTGAAACATAATCGTCGACATTGCCACGTCACGAGATCGGCGATCGAGGGGGCGGACGATTTTTAAAATGTTGCTGACCGATCCGGCCGAACAGGCGGTGGGCGTTCGAGAACTGGGGCTGCCTTGTCGGCGGAAGTAGGGGGGAGGGTGCAGTCGGGGAAGGCAGCGGCGGCGCTGGGTATTGCAGCGGCGCACGCCTGCGTCGCAGGCGGCGGATGCGGCGGGGGAGCGGCGGCGGAGGGTTTTGTGGTCGTGGTTGGCTTTCTCGGTCGCTGCGGAGTGATCTTTTGAGGAGGAGGTCGGGTCATTGGTGTGGGGCCCGCGGGCGAGGGGGAGGAGAAGCGGAACGGAAGGCGGAAACGGGAACGAGTGAAATAAGGCGGAGAAGAATAATGGGGATCGCAACGCGAAAAATCTAGGGAGAGAAAGTAGACAGAGAAGCGGGTCGTGGGGGAGATGATGGGGAATCGATGGTTGCGGATTTGTAGGAGGGCGAGGGCGGGGGAATTTCTTTTTTTAAATTTTCGAAGAGTTTGATTTGGTAAAGCAAAGTTAATTGAGGCCTGCTGATTTAAGAAAGTTACTTTTTTTTCCCGATGGGGTTATTCATGGGGACGATTTTGGGCTAAGTTGGATAATTATCTTTGTGATGACTTGTCCATGGAACAATTTAAGTAGGATAAAGCGGGATTTATTATATTATATTTTAATAAGGTGCGACGTCGTCTATTATCCTATTCAAATTTGTCTCGATCAAAGGTTTTATGTCTAAATTACTTTATGTAATTTTTTAATTTATAAAGTATAATATACTATCACATTTGTAATCCCTTGATTTTTATTTTAATTAAGGATGTTAAATACTACTACATAATATAATATAATATGTTATAATAACATAGTATGACATAATATATTATAGGGGAAAATACTTCCAGCCCCCAAAACACAAGAAAACGTGCTCCCCCCCCCCCCACCCCCCCCCCCCCCAAAGACTTTTTTAACGGGTGCTTTACCCCCAAAACCGCCCGCGATTTTCTTTCATCCCCAAAACGAATCCCCAGGCGTAACTCCGTTTAAACTCCACTCAAAATGCCCAAAATACCATTCCTTTAAAATTCCCAGTTATGAGTTACCTCCTCGTCCGTACCATGTCATCTCTCTCTTCTGCAAGCAAACCGACTCCAGAAACCCAATTCAAAACCCTAGCCCTAAATCAACCGACTCCAACGCAAACCGAATCAAAGCAAAGGGATCAAAATGGCCGGTGATTCAACCCCCAAAGCCAACCTCCATGCCGACCACAGCGAAAGCGATGACGCCCAGCAGTTCGAAATCTCAGAAAGAGCCCATACAACTACAATGCAGACTGAATCTGAAGCTGGAGCTGCGATTACTGATGTTCTAGCGGACATCACAACCAGCCATTCTCAACCCAGAAGCCAACCTCAAAATTTAAGTGTAGGCCCCCGCGAAGGTCTAGAGGGCACCACCGGTGCGACCAACGATGCCACTAGAGGGCTCCTTGGTCTACAGAGAGGAGAAAAAGAAAAGCACGTGGCAGCACCCAAAAGGTAATTTTTACCGCAAGTTTTATGTTGTTAAGGTTATGGTTTGATTGAAAATACTCCTAGTCTGGTGGGAAGGTCCAAAATTACGGGTGTCTGTTAACTGTTGATACTGTTAACATGCAAGGTTCATGCTTTTATTGTTGAGGTTGTTGTTTGGTTGTTGAGGTTAGACTTTGGTTGTTAAGGTTAGATTTTGGTTGATAAGGTTATGGGGTTGTTGTTAAGCTTGTTGGTTTATCCTCAAAGTTTACAGCATAGTTGTTATGTTTACTGATTATACTCAAAAATGCTCTTGTCTTGTGTTTTTGTTATGTAGAAAAAGGGCAAAGGCAACTATTATGTTGCGGCTCACCGCCAGCTTCAGTGCCTATCATGACTTCATGCGGAATTTGGTGATGCGTATGGGGCCAAGGCATTTTGCGGCCTACGAAGATAGTGTATTCAGACACTACGTCCAATTTGGCCCACCTTGTGTCGATCTTCCCACCTTTGAGCACATTTTGAGTCAGTGTGACAAGAAAAGCAAAAAATTCGTCTTTACCGATAGGAATGATGGAGAAGAGATCGCCTGCTCATTCAACCTTGAGTGGGTAATGGAGCATACATGGTTCTCCAATGACGGGCTTCATGTTGACCACAATCGGGATAGGAAAAATAGGATTTGGTCTAGGTTTTTTGACAAACCTGAGGCAGGGGGTTCTAGCAGTATAACTCCCCCAAAGGAGGCCCCACCAGACGTAATGTGGAGGACCTGCTCTTGAAGCTGGTACTATCTTCTGATCGTCGAGATGTGAATGACTTTGTCCTGCTACAGATCCTCTATCAGCTGAGCATGATTTGGTATCCAAGCAGTATTTCCGGCGTTCATAGGTATTTATTTAAGTACGTCGATAGCATCGAACATGTCAATAACACTGCTTGGGGACCTATATATTTAGTGAGACATCTGACGTGATAAAGAGGGCACTGAAGGGTCCTAAGCCAGGGAAGACGACTTTATATTTGCAAGGGTGTACCCCTCTAGTTTGTGTAAGTAATCATGTCTTTTATTACTGATTGCGAAGGTTAGGGTTTAGTTGTTAATGTTACAATTTGGTTGTTAAGGTTACAGTTTGGTTTTAATATTACGGTTTGGTTGTTAATGTTATGTTTTTAGTGTTAGGGTTACTCATTAATTGTTACGGATAAAGGTGTTTGTTAAGTTTTTATTTTTCTAATGTGCAGTTGTGGTACTATGAACTTACTGATATCAAGAAGCCAGCAGTTGGATATACGGTAAGGCCTCCCCTCACAAATTGGGTGAGACTTAGAGAGGTTGCTGGTTCTTTGAGATTGGCCATTGTTGTAGCTAAAGCAAGCAAAGCTACGATAAAGCTTCCACAGCAACATGGCCAATTTCAAAGAATCGAGGGAGGTTTGTAGGGGAAGGAGCAGGGGATAGAGAAAGTGAAGATGAGAGAGAGAGAGAGAGAGAGAGAGAGAGAGAGAGAGAGAGAGAGAGAGAGAGAGAGAGAGAGAAGAGGAGGATTAATGGACCGGCTGCAGTAAACGCCGGTAGGGCTCGTGGCCCAAGACACCTTCTTCACAAGAAGAAGAAGAGAGCAGAAGATGACGACATCCCAATTGATGCAATTGTAAGAATTTAGCAATCATGGATTTTATTTGTTTTTTAATTAATTAATCATTTTAATAATACTCTATCTATCCATTGCATATGTGATGCCACATGATATTGATGAAGACGTCGAGCAGCCAAATGAGGCAGTTGAGCAAATGGAATAGCCTCAGCAAGTTATCTACTGGAAGAGCATCACGACAATGAACCAAGCATTACATCGCGAGAATGAGAATAAATTTAAGGGTATGATTGTTGCAGACCGTGTAAAGATAAATGCTCTTTCTGTGAAGGTGGCTAAGCTGTCTGCTCAAAATAGAAGACTGGGAGAGGAACTAAGCGAAGCACGATCTAGAACCCTCTCTGTATATAAGGATAAGAGCCCTACAGGATTGGTGTCCGGCTCATTGATGGAGCCGCAAACTTGTACAGGGTAGATGTGGCTTGCAATTACGTTTGCGTGTTATGTTTAAAGATTGATTGATAAGTATATGGATTTTTTGTTAAGGTTAAGAATTTATTGTTAACTTTACGGATCTAATGTTAAGGTTAGGGATTTATTGCCAAGGTTAGAGATTGTTTGTTAAGTATCTGGGTTAGTTGTTAGGATTATATAACTGATGCTATGTTTTTTTGACAATGAAGTACCTAAGCTCATTTGTTTATTTTTTGAATCAGACACTCCAGGCACCGTGGGTGGCATTGATATACAGTACGAGGGGGATGTTAATTAATCATTATTTAATGAAGCTAATAAGGAAAGCGAGGACCCTCCAACAGGGAGGGCCTCTTCACAACCATTTTTTACTGATATCCACAAGGAGAGTGAAGATGCTCCGCCAGGAGAAGTACCTCCACCAGAGGCCTATCGCATTGACACGGCTCTTGAGGCAGAAATAAACGAGGAGAGAAGGTGTCCCCGCTAGCGAAGGAGCTGCTAACTTGTACAGGTCAGCTTGCTTGTGCACTATACGTTAGAGATTGGTTGTTATGTCTACGTATTGGTTATTAAGTTTTTGCTTGTTTATACTCTGAATATTATCAGAAACAGACACTCAACGCGAGGGCACTGGAAGGGAAACAACGCTGGCGGTTGATGTCCCTTCTGTAGGCCCTTCTGTAGGATATGATACGGAGACGCAAACTTGTATAGGCTAGTAACTTTTTCACCATGTGCTTAGGCATTAGTTGCTAGGGTTACTATGAAATTGTTAAGTTTAGATAGAAGGGGCTAAGTTTTCTCAATATTTATACTTTGAATGGATTGTTTGGAAACAGACACTCTAAGAGAGGACACTGGGATGGGAATAAAGCAATCAAAGGATGCCCCTCCACCAGTACCTAACACATCAACTAATGACAAAGATGCTCCTATTGTGTTTTCAAGGGCTTTGAATAAGAGAAAGAGGGGTGCAAGGGAGGCATGCGAGAAGGTGGCCCCTACTGCACCCCTTAAACGGAATAGATGCAAAAGAGCGGTGAAGCCTTCCAAGTGGGTAGTCACCCCTTACACTGAAGGGAAGAAGAAGAAAGAAAAAAACAACTTAGGAAACAAGGCTATAATAGAAGTGGCTGGGGAGGAGGAAGAGCAGGTGCAG